TATTGGGGATATGGCTGTGTACAGCAGTGAACTTACTATTTCAGGGAAGAGTGATTTTTTTTTAAAAGTGATTTTTAAAAATATATTTTAAATAGATGATAGGGTTTTAAAAAGTAATTTTTAAATTAAAAAACCCTGGTCCGTCTATTCTTATAAAAACACACATTTAAAAAACCAGAATTATAGCTCTGGGTGGCTCAGTTGATTGGAGTGTCATCCTGTACACCAAAAGGTTGTGGGTTCAATTCCCAGTCAGGGCACATACCTAGGCTTCGGGTTCGACTGGTTGGGGCCCATATGGGAAGCAACCAATCGCTGTTTCTCTCTCACATTAATTTTCTCTCTCTCCCCTTCCCTCTCTTTCTAAAATCAATAAAAACATATTCTCAGGTGAGGATTAAAAAAAATATATTGTATTTTGCAACTTGCATTTTCCCCCTCAACCATTTCTAGCATCCCTAGAGGATGTTCCCTTGGAAACCTGGTGAGAGGTTCACAAATTTACCCCAGGATCTTGAGATTGAGACTATTGGTCTCAATCTTACTCTACCTATTAGCACCTGGTTGAAGCTTCCTCAGTTTCCCCAAATAGATATAATAACAGTATTTACCTTGTGGCGCTGTAGTGAAGATTACATGAGTTAATCCACTCAAAGCACATAACAAGGTGTGAGGCATGAATGCCACCTATAGTGGGGGTGATGCTCATCCGGATAACATATTCAACCCTATGTGACACATAGTCATTCAGGATCAAAACACTAGCTCCTTGATAAGAAAGACCTGGACCCAAACAAAGTCTGATTGCCAAGAAGAAAACCTCATAAAATGAGTTATACTGCCCTGTTAGGTTTGGCTAGTCAGCCTGCAGACTGAAGGGTCCCAGGTTCGATTCTGGTCAAGGACACATGCCCAGGTTGTGGGCTCAATCCCCAGTAGGGGGCGTGCAGGAGACAGCTGATCAATGATTCTCTCTCATCATTGTTTTTATCTCTCTCCCTCTCCCTTCTTCTCTGAAATCAATAAAAATATATTTTTTAAATTGAGTTATTCTATGCTTCTAATTAGGAAGACAATGTTATAAAGATATTAATTCTTTTTTTAAAAAAATACATTTTATTGATTTTTTACAGAGAGGAAGGGAGAGAGATAGAGAGCCAGAAGCATCGATGAGAGAGAAACATCGACAAGCTGCCTCCTGCACATCTCCTACTGGAGATGTGCCCGCAACTCAGGTACATGCCCTTGACCGGAATCGAACCTGGGACCCTTCAGTCCGCAGGCCGACGCTCTATCCACTGAGCCAAACCGGTTTCGGCAAGATATTAATTCTTTAATTAGCTTACAAATCTAATGTAGTAATTTTGAATTGGTGGCGGCTTTGTCCTCCAGGGGACATTTGGCAATGTCTAGAGACATTCTTGGTGGTCACAAGTGGGGGGCTGCTACTGCATCGAGTTGTAGAGACCAAAGATGCTGCTAAAATCCCACAGGACATGTGACAGCCTGCCCCAACAAAGAATTATTGGCCCAAGAAACCCTGATCTATTTCAATCGTTGAAAAAAATGATTCTAAAGTTCATTTGGAGGAATAAGTGGGCACAATAGCCAAGAAATCTTGGGAGTGGAGGGGGAGAGGAAGGAAGGACAGATAATTGCTCTCCTAGATACCAAAAATATTATCAAACCACAAAAATAAATAAAATTTTAAAACCCACAAAAGTGTGGCTCAGTGGTTGAACACTGACCTATGAACCAGGAGGTCACAGTTCAATTCTGTCAGGACACAAGCCCAGATTGCCGGCTCTATCCCCAGTGGGGCATGCAGGAGGCAGCTGATCAATGATTCTCTCTCATCATTGATGTTTCTCTCTCTCTCTCTCTCTTTCTCTCTCTCTCTCTCTCTCTCTCTCTCTCTCTCCCTCCGTCCCCCCCTTCCTCTGTGATATCAATAAAAATATATTAAAAAAAAGAAATTGTTCCTGGATAACTGATTTAACATCATACTTGATTAACAATATACACTCTAATATCCAGAATGTTTTCCCTATACGTCTACAATCAGGATGCATTTTACAGTTATTGTGTAAATTTTGTGTGTAGTTCCTTTTTTCTTGAAAAGTTATTCTTAAATTGGCAAGTCTTCCATTCAGTGCTGTCTTAGAAATAAGGCAATATAGTCTATGTTAAACGTTAGGCATACTTCATGCCATATAAAACATTTCAGATGAATAAAGGACTAAGCATTAAAAAGAGATGGCAAAATAACAGGAAAATAATCAGGACAGGAAAGATTTTTCTAAACATAAAGCAAAGAAAAAAGATGTACAAATACATAAACACAAATGTTATGCTTTATTAAGTAAAATACCACACACTATAGATTTCTAAATTGAGTGTAATCCCAATTTAAAAGTACAAATTATTCAGAAGTTGACAAAATGATTTATCTTTTGAAAGAATAAATATGCAAAGCTCGACAGAAAAATTCTAAAAAAGAAGAGTAATGAAGTGTTTCTTCTACTTTTTTTTTTTTATTGCTTAAAGCATTACAAAGGGTATTACATATGTGTCCTTTTTTTTTCCCCCCGCCTCTTCTACTTTTTATTAAAACAGCATGTAAAAAGGCCAGAATACAAAGTCCACAATGGACACAAAAATATATAAAACTTTACCATTTAATAAAGGTAATATTTCAAGCCACTGGGTAAAAGGCTGGATAATTCAATAAATGATGAGGAGACAACTAACCATCTAGAAGAAAAGTATTAGATTACCGTTTTATCCCTTTTTTGAAACTAATTCCAGGTAGATTAATGAAGTAATTAAATGTGAATAATATTTTTATAACCTTAAGAGTGAGGAAAGCCTTTCTAAGCATAACAACAAAGACAGAAATCAAATAATAGAAAAGAGTGACAGAACTGACTACATAAAAATTTGTAACTGTTGTGGCTGGCCAGAGTGACTCCGTTGGTTGAGCATCATCCTGTGCAAGGAAAGGTTGCCGATTCGATTCCCAGTCAGGGTTTGATTGGCAGTCAGGGCACAAACCTGGGTTGTGGGCTTGATCCCGGGTTGAAGCACGTATAGAAGGCAACCAGTCAATGTTTCTCTCTCACATCGATGTCTCTCTTTCTTTCCCTCCCTCTCTCTAAGTATGTCCTCGGGTGAGGATTGAAAAAAATATATATATAACTCCTGTACAGAAAATCAAAAGTTGTGGGGAAAATGTTAACATGTATGACACAAAGGGCTGTTGTTATTAGTTTTTTAGTACAAATTACCACAAACTGGCTGGCTTAAAACAATAGTAATTTATCCTCTCAGTTCTGGAAGTTTAGAAGCCCAAAATCAAGGTGTGTGCAAGGGCAAGCTCTCTTAAAGGCTCATTGGAGAATCTGTTCCATGCCTTTCTTTTAGCTTCTGGTGTTGTCAGCAATCCTTAATGTGCAGCTACTGCATAACTCCCATCTTTGCTTCCATCATCACATGGTGTTCTTCCTCTGACTTCACACGGTGATAAAGGGGAACCACCCTACTCCATATGCCTTTATCTTCACTGATTACATCTGTAATGACCCTATTTCCAAATAAGGCCACATTCTGTAGTGAGAAGTTAGGACTTCAATTGTGGAGGACCCAGTTCAACCCATAATGAATCCAATATATACGTAATATTTACACCCCAACAGGCCAGGAAAAGGCAACCTGCTTGAGCATACTCTCTGACCTCTAGCCTCACTGGCTGTTCTTTCACCCCTGGCCTTCACCTGGGCGCAGCACTGTGGTCCTAGGCCTAGGGCGCCCTGGATGTTCTTCTCATGGCCTCTGAGCCTAGACGATCACATCCAAATCACTATAATCTATGTGATGTGCTAATGACAACAAATTTGTGTCCCTAGTGAGGACTTCCTCCCTGTCCTATAAACTCAGTACAAACATCACAGCTGGCATCTCCAGTTGGCAAACCCACAGGTGTCTTGACACCTTCAAAACAGTAGGTCAAACGCTCAACCACTGAGCCACACCAGCCGGGCTCCAAGCCTTTATTTTTGCTGCACCCTTTGCTCCTACCTTATTCCCCTAGAGTCAAACTGTGGCTCGCGAGCCACATGCGGCTCTTTGGCCCCTTGAGTGTGGCTCTTCCTAAGCCTTAGGAGTACCCTAATTAAGTTAATAACAATGTACCTACCTATATAGTTTAAGTTTAAAAAATGTGGCTCTTAAAAGAAATTTCAATCGTTGTACTGTGGATATTTGGCTCTGTTGACTAATGAGTTTGCCGACCACTCTCCTAGACCTTCTCATAACAAATCTGTTCTGTCATTATGGTCTCAGATCAATTATTAACTCTTCAGAGAGGCATTCTTTGAAAACACACAATCTGATGTATCCAATCCCACCCAAGTACTCTCTATTATATTGTTCACTTATTTGTGTATTGCTTGTCTTTCCCCTTGAGAACATACTTATTGAAAGAGTGAATCACAACCAAAGGAAAAAAATTAAAACCATGATAGCTCACAGAATCTGGGCCTCAAATCAGCAAAGATGAAAAGGCCTTATTTTCCTTCCTCACACTCTGTATATAACCCGATTACATTTGTGTGGTTGTGAGCTGGTTGTCTCTCACTGACTAGAAGGAAATCTCCATTGGTTTGTTCATTGCTGGACCCTCTGCATTCAATAAATACTTACTGAACAAAATGACAATATTAGGGGTGACTGGGCAGTGAAGGAAGGGGTATGATGAGACTATAATTGATGCACAATTTCTGTAGGAAATTCTGTAGGAAAAGCTCTCAAAGGAGGACATGCCTTTTGACTCAGCAATCTCACATCCAAGAGGCTCTTATCCGAAACAAAGAAATGATTATTTATGAGGGAATTCCTCACTGTGTTATTTATAATAGAGAAAATTTAGAAACAACCAGCATGATACCCATTAATAGATTACAAATATGATTATAAATCTGTACAATAAAATACATTAAAAATATTGGTAAAGACATGTATTTATTAATGTGGAAAGAGATAAAAGTACATAAATAGAAAAAGGCAAGCTACAAAAAAAACACATATATAGCAAGACTTCATTTTTGCAAAAACAAGTATTGGGGGATACATGGATATGTACGAGTATACATGCACATTTACAGATCCAAGTTTGGAAAGACAAACATCAAAATGTTAACATTAAAAAAAAATGTTAACATTCGTTACCTGTGGATAGTGAGATTAAGGGCAATTTAAATTTTCTTCTTTAGATACATTTCTAAATTTTTTTGTAATAGGTCAACCAAAAATTAATCGACTATCTGTACATGTTCTGCGTGGAAAAGAAAAAGCAATAAAGATTATTAAAAACAAACTTCATCAACTTAGTGAAGCACTAAAGCCCAGGTGAAGACCAGGAGTTCAAAATTTTAACTACAGTATTGGAGATAGCTTTCTGATTTCCTGAATTTAAGCACGCTGCTTCCCCTCAGTCCATACTGTAAAAGAGAAAAAATAATTGTAAAACTTGTTCCTTTTATTTCATTCCTGCCAAGTGTGAGAAGGTCAGGACTGGCTGAGAAACAACACAGAGTGTAGCAAAAGTTCTCATCTATGCTGGGCATTTTCCTTGCATTGCCTCATTGCAAATCTTCTAAGGGTTCTACCAGGAAGGTAATCATGTTCCCAAAGGCAAAAGCTGAGAGAGGTGACAGATCTGGCCAAAGTTCACACAGCTGAGGTCTCTCTGACCTCAGGGCCTTCTAGGAAAAGTGAGATAAAGGCTCTTGAGGCTTTAAAACCTTGCAAGTCTCTCAATGCCCCTGATCTTTTACACGGTTATCTGGTCATCCTTATCCGGTTATCCGACTGCCCTGATCTAATTGGCAAGAAAGATAAAAGGAGAAAAGCTTGGAGTTTTTAGAAAGCTGAAGTAAAAAATATCTAGAGAAGCAAGATTTAAATTGGGTATAACTCTCCGGAACTGGACCTTCATGTCTCTTCAACTCCAAAGGCTCAAGAGCAAAATGCTCTTGCCGGAGAGTGGACGCATGTGTGTGTGAAGAGTCACGACAGACACAACAGACGAGGCCAGTGATGGCGAACCTATGACACGCGTGTCAGAGGTGACACGCGAACTCATTTTTTTGGTTGATTTTTCTTTGTTAAATGGCTTTTAAATATATAAAATAAATATCAAAAATATGTCTTTGTTTTACTATGGTTGCAAATATCAAAATATTTCTATATGTGACACGGCACCAGAGTTAAGTTATGGTTTTTCAAAATGCTGACACGCCGAGCTCAAAAGGTTCGCCATCACTGGACTAGGGTAAGGTGCCACCTGTGTGCTTGAAGGAGGAAGCCGGACTAGGGTGAGGGAGGCGGGCAGGAAGAACCAAGTCCAAGGGGGACCGAGAGAAGGGGCAGCAGGAAAGAGGGAGAACCAGGAGGGAAGGCGGCTGAGTGATTCTGCGGTATTTTTTTCCCTTCCACCTCTTTCCTCCGTCACTCTTAGGTCTTCGGTGCTTTCTACACGGATGGCCACCAAATCTCTCCCTTCTGCCTGTTCTCCGGACCGATTTCTCTGGGCGGGCCACCTCCATGTACATTTCCCAGCTGCTCTTCGCACGCAGTAGGTTCAGGCTGAACGCAGCACCGCGTCCACACCAAGCCTGCTCCCACTCTTGAACTCGCTCTCCCTTTCCTTCAATCATTATTTCACCCAAAAACAATGCATTGTGGACCTATGATGCCCCGCTCACTGCCACAGTGCTGGGTACACCCATTCACCTACCCAGGTGGCTCACTTCTCCCGTGAAAATCTGTGTGTCCATCTCATCTAGAGTCTTCACTGAGGTTTAAGGAGAACCCCTCCGGCTTGAACCACGCAACATAGCACTGTATGTCCATTCGCTTTGCACGCCATTCATTCTCCAGTGACCGTCACAGGGGGCTCGCTGGAGGCCGAGGGGTCAAACTGGCTGCTGGGAAGGGGCATGAAGGCGCGGAGGCTAGAACTGCCCGGAAGGGGTATTTGCGTGTGAAGAAAGGTGGTTTCCTTACACGGCACATGGGAGACCCATCAAATAACAGGAGCGCGATCCTTCCTCTACCTCGGGGTGAGCGGCGTCGGGAGGCGGGGAGGCCCGAGGCCGAGGTCCTCGGATGGAAGCCTGTCCGCCCCCTGCCCCGTGGCACCCCAGGGGCCACCTGTTGGCTCTGTCACCTCCTGGAGCAGGGACGTCGGACACCGTGTTCTCTATTGTGTCCCCCTCTCCGAGAATACCTGGCCCGTGGGAGGGGGTCCAACAAGTCTCTGTGGAGGGTTCTAGAAAAGCAGGGGCCGCAGACGTCTCATTCACCTTCTCAGGACGAAGGACAAAGACTAAGGAGGCCGGAGGGGGAAAGAAACCGGGCAGGTGTCCCCCCTGGGTTCCTGCGGGGGCGGGGGCGAGCGTTTGCTAAGCGGACAGGAATCGCCCCCCGGACAGGTCCGACCCCGGCCCCTCGCGCGGGCCGCCGGGCCCTGCAGCGCCGCCCCCATCGGCCCAGGGCCCGACTGCCCGCCGGCCCGGCCTCCCCCCCTCGGCTCCCGTTACCTCCCCCGCACATCTGGCACCCACCCCGGAGCCCAAACAATTACACCGCGCCCGGGGCCTCCCTCGGAGGGCGGGGGCAGCCACCGGGTTCCGGGGCCTGGTGAAACCCCGGGCATAGGGGAGGTGGGGGGGGGGGGGGGGGGGGGGGGGG